AGATATATCACACAGTGAAACAGTATTATTTACTGGGTGACGTTTCGAACACAATTTATTGTTCATAATCATATCAATTGTAATCACACGATTTTGAAATTTTAGTTTTATAGTTTTCCTTGTCTTCTCCTATTTGTCATAATGGTAGTAAAATTTTTCAGATATCTGGGACAGGTGTTGAATCATTTCTGTTACATGTATTTGCAGTTGATTCGATAAATAAAGCTTCTGTTATCAATCTCTCCCTCCATTCACCCTGTGACATTAGATTTTACAACTGCCATCCTATCCCATCCTATGGTATGGTTGTGTGTAACTGCATGTAGTGCTATAGCTGAACTATTCTCTAGAAATCTTATCTTATTCGGGTCAACTAATCTAGATTTTGCTAGGATTTTATGTTCGGCTAGTCTGACTTCCCCTGTTCTACTAGTTTGACCTATGTATCTGACCTGATAATCATTGCAGGATATTAGATAAACTAAATTCTTTTGTTTTAAAGGCTCCACAGGATTGATCCTTTAACCAACAAAGCTTGTTTCTAATTGAGTTTGTGATTGGTTTGAATGTCAGCCACTTTTATTCTTGCCTTGTTAAGAATTCTGCGTAAGGCTTCCGAGGTTCCTTCCTTGTATGGAGTTACTACTGATGATTTAGATTCCTTATTGTTCGCGTCGTCATTAATATTATTCTTATTATCGCTGTTATTATTATTGTTATTAGTGTTATCATTATTATTATTGTTATTATTATCACTATCGCTACTATCATTATTTATTTAGTAGTATCGATAGTGATAATAGTATTGATAACAATAATAATGATAATAATAATAGTAACAGTAATAATAATAACATTAATATTAATGAAGACACCAATAATAAGGAATCTAGATCATCAGTAGTAATTCCATACAAAAAAGGAACCTCGGAAGCCTTACACAGAATTCTTAACAAGGCAAGAATAAAAGTGGCTGACATTCAAACCAATCACAAACTCAATTAGAAATTAGACTCAGCATCACTGTGAAGTTAGTCAGTCTTTATACATGGATCAGAAACTTGCACTGTGCGTGCGTCACGAAAAGCATTTCCAACGGTCCACTGCGGGAATTTTTCTCAACAGCTGCCCACTTCTCTCACTCCATACTGAAGATCATTTATGGCCAGATGGTCAAAAAGAATTAGAAACAAGAAACGTTGGCAACAAATCAACCAACAGCCGATTGCTCAACAAATATGTGGGAGAAAATGGAAATGGACCGGGCATATACATCGAGAAGGCTGTCGAATGAAATCGCTCACAGTGCAGGCAATCGCTTGAAGGGAATCCCAGTGAGAAGTGACGAGTGAGTCATCATTTCGAGAGTGACATGGAGGAGATGAGAGATTAAAGGCGATCGTGAGCTAGACAGCTGTGGAAGGCAGGAGAAAATAAAAGAAAGTGGAAGTGTGTTGTTGAAGCAGTATATTGCATCGCAAACCCAAGGGAATAATAATATTAATAATTCTAGTCAGAGAAAAAGATAGTAAAGAAACTGACTAGTTGTCATAAGCACAGTTGTTAACATTATTGATCAATGTATAAGGGAATTTGAATAAGGGTGATAATGTCGCGTAATACGACAAATAATTGATATACAAAATGAAAAGCGCCCTACCAAAGACGATATTTTTTCTACCACTTTACACCGCTTAACTTCAAGACATCCAGATAGCAAAACTGGTTCTGTGTATACCCAGTTATAGCCTTCCTCGACGGACAATGTTAGCTGACACAGGGTCAAGTTGGAAATGAGATAGCGGCGGTCAAACTAAAACATGGCGCCAGTGAATGAAATCCACAACAGTTAGTTTAAGCCATGTAGGAAGGTGCAGACTTCCTGGTTGGGGTCCTCGGGACCATAAAAAACCAACTGCTGGAGACAATTGGTGATAAGGCTGAGATGCATTCACTCCTTGTGACTTATAATTTCCAATGAAACTACATTGTTCATCGTTATTACCATTTCTTTTATCTCATATCTCTGTCTACTGTCTCTATTTTACATTTCTTCTGGTTTATTCTCTTGCTTTGTGTGGTACATGGAATGTGGCAGAATGAACTGTTGCACATCAGTGCAAAGTTCTATGGTGAAAACAGACAGACAGTACTTTTTTACCAACTTGATTTGTCTTTATCTCCTGAAAACTCCTTGGTTTTCATGTTTAGAAAAACACTACAAGTGCATCTAAATACATTTTCAGTACAAACCAGTAAAATCACTACCACTCTGGCGAAGATATGAGAGTCAGAGTCGGAAACGCATAATACGCCTTCACTAACCTGAAACCAGTTGGGAAATCTTCCTCAACCAGTATAAGGAACACGATTCGCATTTTTAACACTAATGTGAAGTCCGTTCTTCTTTACGGGTCAAAAACTTAACCAGCTTGTCACGAAAAGGATTTCCAACATGGTTGGAAACTTTCACCAACAACTGTCCACTTTGCGGGCTGACTGCTGAAGATTAAATGGTGAGAAAGAATATGCGACAAGAAACTATGAGAACAAATCAACAGGCGAGAGCAGATGGCTCAACAAATATGTAGGCGGAAGTGGAGATGGACTGGAGGAGGCCACCGAATGACATCGCAAGCCAGGCTCTCAAGTGGAATCCAAAGTTAAACCGACTAGTGTATAGTCACTTCGGCGGTGACTTGGAGGACATCGTGTGAGGAAGAGGTGAGGAGAGAGTTTTGTCAGATGAAGAGGACAGAAGAAAACAGAACAAATGGAGATGTGTCGTTGAAGCACTATGGTCCATTCAGAACGCAAGGGAATAATAATGCAGTAATAAAATAAAAAAACCACTCATAGTTACAAAATGGATCACTTGATATAAACAGGTCATTTAAAAATCTATCAATTCTGTCACTTGTTGAATACTGAATAAACTGTCAAAGACCTTTAAATACGAAGCATTCCAAACACCGGGAGCCGTTCTAGTTCGTTTCGAAAACAATTCCAACCAGTCACCATTGCTTACCTGATCTATTGTGGAACTTATAAGTTCCATGATTCTCTATTAGTTTTGCTGATTTATTTGTCATTCAATTTAATGTTATACTGGTGCACATTATCACTTACAGGTGCCTTCGAACTGTGATCCATTGATATGACCTGATTCGACATTATTTAAAACATTAATGTTTGAAATTACCACAGCAGTGTAAGTGGATAACATTCACCTAGTTAAGCATCTAAACGTCCGTAAACATTATTGTTATTATTTGTTATTGTTTCCTTTGGTTCATACAGGAACACAGGGCTTCAGCTGAACGTCTCGATGCTTTCGGTTCTCTACCTGGCTCCAAATCTGCCCACATGCTTCCATCTCCTCTTCACATGACCTCCATATCACTGTCGGACGACCAACTCCCCGCTTACAATTCAGGTTCCACTCAAGCGATGGCCTAGCATGTGGTGTCACTTGATGGTTTTTCAGAGTATGGCCGATTCACCTTCATTTCTCCCTGCATAATTGCTTCCTGCTGGGTTGGTTTGTTCATTACCAGAGATCCCTATTGCTGGTGATTTCTGGCCGGCCATTTGATCTTCAGTATTAAGCGAAGACAACTGTTGATGAAGGTCTATAGTTTGTTCGAAGTGCCCTTCGTGACACAGCGTCAAGTCTCGTATCCGTAAAGTAAGTAGCACTGACTTCAAATTAAAGTTGAAAATACGGATGTCATTTTTCATGCTGAGCAGTTCTGCTGATCTGCACACAGACTTGAAATTGATGAAAGCTTGCCTTGATTTCCCTGATCCTCGCTTTGATATCCTCGTCAGTTCCACCTGTAGTTAAGACGATGCTTCACAGGTAGGTAGGTAAATAGGTAGGTAGGTAGGTAGGTAGGTAGGTAGGTAGGTAGGTAGGTAGGTAGGTAGGTAGGTAGGTAGGTAGGTAGGTAGGTAGGTAGGTAGGTAGGTAGGTAGGTAGGTAGGTAGGTAGGTAGGTAGGTAGGTAGGTAGGTAGGTAGGTAGGTAGGTAGGTAGGTAGGTAGGTAGGTAGGTAGGTAGGTAGGTAGGTAGGTAGGTAGGTAGGTAGGTAGGTAGGTAGGTAGGTAGGTAGGTAGGTAGGTAGGTAGGTAGGTAGGTAGGTAGGTAGGTAGGTAGGTAGGTAGGTAGGTAGGTAGGTAGGTAGGTAGGTAGGTAGGTAGGTAGGTAGGTAGGTAGGTAGGTAGGTAGGTAGGTAGGTAGGTAGGTAGGTAGGTAGGTAGGTAGGTAGGTAGGTAGGTAGGTAGGTAGGTAGGTAGGTAGGTAGGTAGGTAGGTAGGTAGGTAGGTAGGTAGGTAGGTAGGTAGGTAGGTAGGTAGGTAGGTAGGTAGGTAGGTAGGTAGGTAGGTAGGTAGGTAGGTAGGTAGGTAGTTTAGGTAGGTAGGTAGGTAGGTAGGTAGGTAGGTAGGTAGGTAAATGATGTTTCTTCTTTCAGATTCCTCCCATTTATACTGATTTTTATTTGTTGTTGTCGCTGTTGTTGGTGTTGCCTGCGAATCTTCACCACCTATGTTTTCTCTATGTTCACCTGAATGCCCATCTGTGGATGCTTCTTATGTCAACTTGTTGCTTTTCATTTGCATACTCTCCAGTTTGTGGAAATCAGACATATAACGTCGGCGAAATCCAGATCCTTCAAGATTTTGTGTGGGTCCATTTTATGCCAGTGATATTACTGGTACGGTTTTTGTCATTGTTGTTCTGATTGCTTTATTTCTTATTTCCCTGATTCTAAAAGGAGAAACCCAGAACGTCGCTCCTCTGTAACTCTCATTTTAATGTAACAACTCTCTTCTCAGGCGTCAGGCCAGCTACAGAAACTTCAGTATGATGAGTTGCCTTGCGACAAAAGGAAAATTTTGTGTGAGAACATGAATCGTCCTCACTATATATATATGAAACATTATAATATAAATAAGAAAAAAAACACAGTAAAAGATGAAATGTACTCAATAACTTACTATGCGGAGTCATTGGTATGGTCATTTTTCCATTAGACTTTAAACCGTCTATATCACGATCATCGTTATCATAATCATTATCTGGTAACGTGGACATTTTTCTAAATTCCAATTGATTAATTTTTTGTTGTTCAATTAGAATCGATTTTTCTCTAGATTTTTCATTTTGATTTCCTGATGTCAAGTTGTGTACAGTTCTACTAGGTGTTATTAGTTCACTTGGTTTATTTTCATGATCTGAACTCTTAGCTTGAACAGCAACAGCATTAGCATCATCGTCACCATCAGGTACACGAGTCTGTTGTTGCTTCTGTGGTAATGGCGGCGGTTGTGGTTGTTGTTGTTGGTGGTGTTGTTGGGATTGATGATGACGTTGACGTGCTGATAATGGACCATCTAAAAGTGTTGCTGTATGATTTGGTAGATTTTGACTAGACCCCCTTGTTGATAAAGTGACAGTTGGTGGTTTATCCGTTTTATTAACATTTCCATATTCTTTTGATAGTACCTTATTATTAACTGTGGTTGTCGCTGTTGTTGTTGTTGTTGTTGTTGTAGCCGTTGTCAAGTCGACATAACCAAGGACTGATGTATCACTGTCTGTTGAGACTGGATAAGTATCTTTCTTCCTATCATTATTATTATTATTCCTATTGTTATTATTATTACTATGACTATTAATAGTAGTATTTCGATTAGAATCATTATTAATTTGACGTGTTTTAACTTTCGTCCTTTTGTTGGCTTCATCATCTGTTGTAGTAATATAAGCAAATTGTAAGGATGATTTATTCACTTGATATTTATTTGTTAATTTATTATTATAATTTGAATTGGTCATGGATGTTGTTAGACTATCATCATTGGGATATTTTACTTTAACTGTTGGTAAACTGAAAATGTCAACTGGTTCCGATACTGGATCATATTGCTGGTGATTGTTTCGAAGAAATGAAAATAAAAATGATTAATTCAAACAGTTAGTAGTCCATTTAATAAAATTTAAATAAAGATTTCAAAAAAAACAGTGTGAGTTGATGGCACAGCAGTAAAATGCTCGTCAACTATCCAGGTTGTCCGACTGACACACTTCTTTACATAGCTAAGTCAGGAATAAGATTGGTGAAGCGGGAAGCTTGGGTGGGAAGTTAATATCAACTCAAAAATCTATACATGAAAACCAATACCTTGACAGAATAGGCAGAAAACACAGGACCTCAAGTGAGCATAGAGAAGACACAGGTGATTAAGATATCCAACTAAGACCAATAACAAGCAGTACCAATTATCATCAACAGGGAATACCTGGGTAAATCTAAACTATAGGGACTCAAGCAAACCTTTTCGACTGCACACTAGTCAGTAACTGGTGAAATATTTCTAGTCTTACCTTCGGTGCAAACTGAGTTCTCTCAGTTCGTCAAGTTTGCAATGTGTTCACCATGATAGGTAGCCTGTCATCACAGTGCACTTTGAATTGTTGATATTAGATGGTTGGAGGCAGTCGGGGGCAGCTAGCACGAAACCTAAGTCCAAGGCTTCCTGCCGATTGCATCCAACCATCTAATATCAACAATTCGAAGTGCACCGTGGTTGCGAGCCACCTAGTGGCATACTGACCACACTGCAAACTTGACTGACTGATAGAATTCAGTCTGTGCCGAAGATAGGACTAGACACACACATCACACTAGTTACTAATTCGTGTCCAACAATAAAAAAACCATCCGATACAGTCCTACAGGAGGTCAACCATGAGCCCGAAATTTGAAAGAATTCACCAATTCCACTTACCTAACTAGGCAGTATCATTTCACTCGATGCAGATGATGGTGTCGCAAACAATCAGGATAACGAAAGGAAGAGAATGGTTCATTACTCTCAAAACAACTTGGAAATCGACCGAATCCTAGCACAAGAATGAAATTTCGAATCTTCAACGCCAGCGTCAAGTCATGGCTTTCAAAAGGTTCACAGACTTGTTGTGAGCGTGACATGCTGAAGCCTTTTCTCAGTAGCTGCCTTCTGTCGATGAAACTGAAAATGGAATGTCTAGTCAGGAAAGATAGGCATCAAGGGATTCTTTCAACGGACCAATCAACAACACTTTGGTCAATAAATATAAATATATATATAAATAAATATATATTTATATAAATAAAAATATATAAATAAACTCATTTTTTGAGTTTTGTACCTTTGAAATATAAACGTAACCTCGTGAAGTGTCTGGTTCATAGAGTTAGGTTAATCTGTTCAGACGACTGCCTCAATGAGGAGCTTAAGATTATTAGAGAATTACCTAGAAAATATCGTTATCCAGATGAATTCATTGAGAAAAATATGAATTCAGCACCAAGGAGAGTCAGTATGGCAACAGTTACGAAAAAACCAAGGTTCATAATATTGCACTTCCTCGGTGACAACATCAGCGAAATAATAACACACCGCCTGAAGAATGCAGTTAAAAGAGCTTGTTATGTAGCAGAGGTAGGTTATCACTTCACAACCACCCCTATTCTATGTTCGAGAAATAAGGATAAACCACCTAAATTTGTCTTTTCTATGTGTATTTACCAGTTTGATTGCAGCTGCGGAGCCAACTACATTGGGCGTACAATTAGGCAAGTTCGTCGTCGTATTTTGTGAACATCATCCAACGTGGTTAAGCAAGGGACAAACAAGATCTATTCTTAGTTCTATTTTAGTCCACCTTGTTGATACTGAGCATAAGGTGGATGTTAATACTACATTTAAAATTATTTGTCGGATTCCGACTAATCTTAATTTTCCTCTGCGAGTTCGTCTTCTACAGACAGCTGAAGCAATCGGAATCCACCTGAAGAAGAAGCCAAACCTGTGCCTGTTCAGAAAAAACTTGTACAGCCACTTTCTTTACCGTGGCCATTGCTACAGGAATGCATCAACAGGACGACTTCGCCCCCCTCCCCCTAAACCTTTAAAAACTATAAAGTGTTTTAATTGTCCAAATTATTTTTATTTATTTATTTATTTTGACCACTTCATCCTTAATTTACGTGTTATCCTTGTAAAATTAATTTATTCTAACCATTTCTACCTTTTAAATGTGTGTATGGATTTTCTTCGATAACTATCAACCCATTGACACTTTGACACTGTTTAATTATTGCCAACAAACATATCAGTGACACTTGATTGGTAAACTGTTGTGTATTGTAATAAAAATGCTTTATGTGTATATTAGAGTAGAGCCAGAGATGAAGATCTAATTGAAAAGTAAATATTTCTTCGCTCAGTATTTCTGTTTTCAATAAATATGTGTAGAGAAACAGAGGTGGTTGGGATATACACTGAGTAGACCGTTGAGGGCAACAAAGAAATTTTCCCCTTTAATAAAAGCCAAACAGAAATGTAGTTGAATTTCATTAAGAGAGTGACAGGATGGAGACACTCGTGTAATTAGCGAATGGAATCTTATGAGCAGTCGTTAGCAGAACCAACTGAAAACTGCTGAAGTAAACAGGACGAAAATTAAAATGTGCTCATAATTCCACTTGAAATCAAAAGAGAGAAACAAAAATGATTAAAATTATCTCTGGTTTTGATATGTGAAAGTTGAAACTCACTCAAAAAAAAAGAAAATTGTCAATTTTCACCTTGAACTTACCGATTTATGATTTGATGCTGATGAATGCTGATTATGACGGATTGAAGTATGATTCATTAGCGAGTTGATTTTTATTCCCTTTGACTGTTTCATTTCATTTTGTCTATCAGATTGTCGTCTAGTTATATAATTTAACGGTTTAATATTTGAAGATCGTTCACGAAACCAAGATACACCTTTATTTTTAATATTATTTGTATTATTACTATTATTATTATTATTAATGTGACGATTCATCTTCTTTTTTATCTCTTGTTCTGATTTCCAATTTTTAGTTGTTAATAAATTCCAGTCAGTAGACATAACTTCATCAAGTTTTAAACGATTCGAATTCATAGCTACTTTAGGTAACCAAATTTTCGATTGAATTGAGTCATTCCAACCAATATGAAAGTGATCACTGTATACATTTTCATCAGCGGCGTCATCATCACGATCATCGGCGTCGTCAACGTTGTTGTCATTGAATTCGTTATTGTGATCCGAATTGTAATCACTGACAATATCATGATGGTTAAGTAGAGTATTCTTTGAACATTGATTACGATAACTATGACTTAGATAACGTGTATTCTTATCATCTAAAAGTTCACTTGTACTATTTGAATCATTCTCATTCGTGGTATGTATTTCATTGATACCAATCAATGGTGGAACAACTCTTGGAGCATAACTATTACGATTGCTGCTGACCTGAATTGAAGTGGTAGCAGTTGTTGTTGTCGATGTGATAGTAGAAGTACCGTTTTCAGTTGAACTGATACCAGATATTGTCGGGGCTATATTTATCACCTCTGTAGGATTTTCACTGCTTGAATCACTTTGATACCGTTGCAGTTGATGTTGTTGATTGTTATATCGTGGTAATTTATCTGACAATTGAGTATTATTATTATTATTACTACTATTACTACTACTAATATTCGTAGTATACTTGTTATGATTATCACTTGATTTCAATGAATTCGATTTATCCAACAGTAATAATTGTTGTTGTGATTGTGATTTCTGATGATTCAACAAAGACCGATTCTCGTGCCAGTAATATTTTACAAAGGAATCCTCTGGTCTATACGTTGATAAACTATATTTATTGAGTGATAATGTGTCCTTTGAAATCAGTATGTACACATTCACGTGTGTGCGTGTGTGTATGTGTATGTGTAAGTGTGTGTGTGTGCGTGTAAATATCGATGTGAATGTGAAACATTGAAAAAACAAAACACAGAAACATGGTTAATATTTTAATCAATATATTTATGTAACATATAAATAGGTTTGTGTATGGGTGTTTGCGTGTGAGTATGTGTTGAGATGAGTGGATAAGTGTCAAAATGTGCATTATAAATTATTACACATGATCATCCACCTTCTCGACACACTCACACATCAACACAAATGCATACTTGTATACACGTGTATATATATATATATATATATATATATACGCAAATTACACTGTTATTAAAGTGTACACTGTACAAATATAAATACCGCTACCACTCTTCAAAACAATTTTGATGATAATAATAATAATAATACGAATGCTGGTTTACTTTTTTCCCTTCACTAAACCATTACACGTTAGATAATTTCAGAAAAAATAAATCATGTGAGATTGATTAAGACGTGTATCAGATCAATCAAATTAAGACATTTAGTGTAGATACGTATTTATGTGTATGCAGAAATAGTTGATTAACACTGTTGGTGAGATAAATCTCTGACAGCTTTGGATGTGTTGACACCACCCCCGCAACCCTGAACGCCCCCCTTTTCATTTCTTCCCATTCTTAGAGGAATAGAAGGCTTCAAGCTAGAAGTCTTTGAAAATTCCCTTGCAGTGATGTCGTTTATACACCCAACTATTTCCTCTTTATGCGAACTTACTATCGGCTAGAAAATTATGTGATGCTTAGGCGTGTATTGGCCAGTAATCGAAGTTTGGCCTCACTGGTGGACATTCTACCAATGAACCATCTACGCGTAACAGGTATTTTTGGAATGCAGGATAAGGTCTTTGTCTTTTTAAGGAGTCGTCAGTTGCCGGTACCTGCATGATGATGTTCCTAGAGGAACTCGAACCTGCATCTATCATTTCAAATTCCAAAGTGTTATTCATTGTGCTGGGAGACAAGCTTCGCAATGATACAGCATTATTTATCAACTAGGTGGGGATTATTTGTGACATAAAAGTCTAGATTAGAGCTGAACTACTTACTAACTTAGTGTTTTGGTAACCATGTCAAATAGTCAGGCGATTGTTTCATGATTCATGTCCAGCTGATGACTTCTTTCGGCTTCAGGTCAATTAGTTTAGCTATAAGAAGTATCGGGCTAGTCACTAGTAGGCTGTAAAAACAAAATAACCTACGTCATCACCTGAAATCATTGCCAATTACATAAACGTCATCAAGATAATCTAGATTATCATAAGCATTTTTATGGGTGAAGTGAAGACCTTCAACATCAGCTAGCCATCTTTGCTGATGAGTCCCACATTGGGACGAAACAGCTATCCAGTACTCCCTGGTTTACAATGGTCCTCTAATGGAGGATGTCAGATAGTGATCAAACCTGTGACCAGTCAAATTCTTGCAAACCAATACCTAATAATAATAATATTACCTACCTAACGAGTAGTATAATATGATTTTAAATAAATTACAAAAGACACTTGAAAATTAATCAATCACCAACTATGGGATGAACTTAGTGGATTAATAGTGAGGAATGTTAATCGGTGTGGTCCCTAAAGTTCGGTGTGAGAATTAATGAAAACTGGTGGTGACTGATCTATATGAGAAATTAATAAGACATTTTATTAAATCGCAGGGCTACCAAAATTTCCTTTCATCCAAATACTGCTTAAACTCTCTTTCGCATTTCTTATTGTTGTAATCATGCAGTTGTATCAAATGACGATTAGATGAACTCGTAGACATTTTTAAATGGCTTCCCAATAAACGCTGTGCAATTCCTGTGAGAAGTCAAGAAAAAGTACATAGAACGCGACAAAGCTACTTCATATGATATAGTGCATATTATTACTACGGCTCATCATTGAACATAGCTTGGAATGGCAGTCACCTCTCTATCTCAACTTCATTGACTTTGAAAAGGCCTTCGACAGACAGCGTTGATCGAGAGTTGGTTTGGCAAATACTTCACTATTAAGGCGTCCAATCGGCAACTGTACATCTCATTCAACAGTTGTACGACAATGCTGTGCATGCCAAGTGATTAAAAACGAGAAACATATGGAAGCCTTCGAATTGGGGATGGGAGTTAGGAAAGGCTGCCTACTATCGCCAATGATCTTCCTGAATGCATTAGATTGGATAATGCGTCAGACAACGGCAACCAACGAGGGAACAGGCATAAAATGGACTCACACAAAAAACTTGGAGGATCAGAACTTCGCCGATATGATATATGTCTGATTTCCCACAAACACTGGAAGATATGCAAGTGAAAAGCAACAAGTTAGCAGAAGAAGCATCAAAGATAGCAAGGACTTCAGGTGAACATAGAGAAAACAGAGGTGATGAAGATTCCTGGCCAACATCAACAGCATCAATAACGGAAAATAATCAGCATAAATGGGAGGAACCTAAAATTAACAACCTCCTTTACCTACCCACCTCGGAAGCATCGTTTCAACTGCAGGCGGAGCTGATGAGGATATCAAAGCGAGGATTGGGAAAGCTAGGCAAGCTTTCATTACTCTTAAGTCTGTTTGGAGATCAACAGAACTTAGCATCAAAATTAAGATCCGGATTTTCAACTCCAATGTGAAGTCAGTCATCGCTACTATACAGATCAGAGACTTGGTGCATCATAAAGAGCATACCAGACAAACTACAGACCTTCATCAATAGCTGTCTTCGCTCAATACTACTCAAGATCAGATCGCCGGCCAGAAAAGATCAGCAACACGGATGGATCTCTGGGAGCGAACCAACCCAGCAGGAACCGATTGTGAAACAAATAGGCAGGAAGAAATGTAGATGGATTGGCCATACTCTGAGGAGACCATCAAGTGACATCACTAGACAAGCCATTGCTCGAGTGGAATCCGACAGAAAGGGAAGCGGCGAGTTGGTCGTCAGTGCGATGGTGACTTGGAGGAGGTCATGTGAAGAGATGAAAACATGTGGGCAGACTTGGAGCAGGGTGAAAACATTGGCAGAAACAGGAGGAAATGGAGACGCGCAGCTGAAGTCCTGTGTTCCTCTAAGAATAAAAGGATATAATAATATTATTATTATTACTTTACATGTATCTTTGCCTGTCAAATGTCATAGTGACTACTCCAAACTAAATGACTTCTCATCAGAAATCAGTCAGTTGTCGAAGGAAAACGGGCTTACCTTAAACCCCTCCAAACAGTCAATTTCACCCTAAGGCATAAATCTGACCTAAACAAACTGTTTAGCACTCATGAGGTGTGCAACACACCTGGCACTGAAATAGTAACCAAGTCGGAAATTAAATATCTTGGCGTCATTCTATCTGCTGATCTCCCCTTCCTGGTCGTCTCATATTTTGATGATTTCTAAGAAACTACTCCGTCCTACCATTTACATCAAGAAGTTAAGACATTCTGGTATAACACAACCCTTACTCTTACGATTCGTTAACTCTTGCACCATGTCTATTATACTCTACTGTTCCCCTTAGTTTTTCCACGGCTACTGAAGAAAGACTATACCTTATTACGCAGGATGTTAAAGGTTGTCAGCAGGGTAAGCTACGTGCCACTTAACCAGCTTGTTAATATTCTGGTCGACAGGCACATGGACTCATGTGATAAATGGGCTAAATCCATTCTATCTATCTAACTCACACCACCACCCTCTTCATTCACAACTCTCCCCCTTTGTATCTCATCAGTCAGGCACACCAGAAACCTACATAGAAAACTATATGCTGATGAAGATGATGAAGATTCCTTGCCAACATCAACAGCAACAACAGACCACAATAAGCATAAATGGGAAGAACCTGAAAGAAACAACCTCCTTCACCTACCTGGGAAGCATCGTCTCAACTACAGGCGGAACTGACGAAGACATCAAAGCCAGAATCGGAAAAGCAAGACAAGCTTTCATTACTCTCAAATCTGTGTGGAGGTCAACAGCAATCAGCATCAAAAATAAGATCCGGATTTTCAACTCCAATGTGAAGTCAGTGCTACTATACGGATCAGAGACTTGGCGAGTCATAAAGAGCATCTCAAACAAACTTCAAACCTTCATTAACAACTGTCTCCGCTCAATACTCAAGATCAGATGGCCAGAAAAGATCAGCAACAGGGATCTCTGGGAGCGAACCAATCAGGAACCGATTGTGAAACAAATAGGCAGAAAGAAATGGAGATGGATTGGCCATACGCTGAGGAAACCATCAAGTGACATCACTAGACAAGCCCTCGAGTGGAACCCGAAAGGGAGGCGGCGAGTTGGTCGTCAAGGGTGACTTGGAGGAGGTCATGTGAAGAGGAGATGAAAGCATGTGGGCAGACCTGGAGCAGGGTGAAAAAGTTGTCAGAAAACCGAAGTCAATGGAGGTGCGCAGCTGAAGCCCTATGTTCCTCTAGGAACTAAAGGATACAATAATAATAATGCTCTCACTAGCAAGTGGAAAAACTCAACCATACCCTATTTAGCTCGTGTTCTGTGCGATAAAGAAGAAAGCATTAGGCGTGATACCCATAACTTATTAAATAGTCAGTAGGACAACTGGATCTCGTCTTTCCAACTCATATCATTTATAGGTACAACGTTTTTCTTTCTTTCTTTTCCTTTTCTCTCTCTCTTTTTTCTGTTATGTGCTGCTTTGTTTCTTTCTTCCATACAAACTCTTTTAAAAAGTTCTTCTTTCTTTCACACTATGTATATCTCGACCATTTTGTTACCACTTACGCCAGTAAATATGCTAGCATCTACTTTTCTGACGCCTTCAGACACTCTGTTCAATTTTCGCTTTGCTACCGATATGCCAATATGTTGTTATCATAACTAACTGAGATTACCCTTAATCTTTGTACAATTTTATTTATTGTTAATGTACCAAGTGGATGCAATACTTTAGTGAAATTCTTGAGA